AGATATATATTAGGCTAGCGGGCAGCGGTAAAGATTAATTAGCCTATCGAAGAGCCGCCTAGCTAGCTATATAAGTAAAGTCTTACGGTTTTTTCTAGAACGATCCTAAGGTAACTATATATAGCCCTGTTCTGTTTACCCGTACGCGGGTAACGGGCATATAGGCAGCAGGATTAGCCCTATTCGTACGTTGTATACTATACACTTAGCAAGTACCGTCGTAGCCGTATACTATATACAACTACGCGCCGCGCGACTAGAGATGTTAATATACGGTATACTTAACTTTCGGGCTTGCAAACACGGTATATACCCTATAAACATACACGAGATATAGATTAATTAGCTATAGGCGGGCGGCGGGCCTATACTAAATACGGTTTATTATAGAAGATATCTACCCTCTAGTATAGTTATCCGCTATATCCGGTTATATTAACTACTATATTTATAAGAAGGGACCTTAGAATAGCTATATATACCGTAATATTATAGTATATATAGGCCTTATAATATTATATCTAATACTTCTACGCGTAACTAGTAGGTACCTTCTCGTAGTATATAGTATAGGTAGGATATAGTAAAACTAAGACCTATCTCTAGAGACTAGATATTAGGACTAAGAGGTTATACGTAATTAGTATGTAACTAGGCTCGAGTAAAGCTAGGGTCTTAATGCCTTAGGTAGGGCTTAGCGCTTAGCAATAGGCTAACTTACCTACCTTCCTCCCTTTCCTTTTAGCTCCTTATCGAATACTACCTATACCTACTACTACCCTATCTACCTACTAATATAACCCTTCTTATATAGTATTCGATCTACCTTTTAAGGGCAGTAGCTAGATAGTCCTTATTTTAAGCTTTTAGCGGTATAGCTACGAAAACTATCGATTTAACTATATTACGCCCGAAGAACGGGACCTATACGTACTGTTCTACTAAAAACAACCGTACCAATTATTAAGCAAGGCCTTCTATACGGCCTATTATACTAAGTTAAGTATATTAGACCGATACCTACTAATTCCGCTATATCCGTACTATAAGGGGTTACAATATATTATTAGTACTACCCCTTATTATAATAGCCGGCTTATTACGAAGTAACAACAACCGCGGCGCCGCTAGCAGCGCTAGCAATAACAATACTAGTAGCATAGTACCTACCGAAGTACCTACTAAAGTGCCTACTAAAGCACCTACTAAAGAGCCTACTACTAGGCCTACCGAAGAACCTATAGTTCTAGGCGATAATCTAGAATTGCCTATTAACGACATTCTTAACAATATTGTTAATCGACGATATAGCTAACTAGCCTTTAGGCCCTAGCTAGTAGCGAGACTCTAAGAAGCTACCTAGAATAGGCTGGCTACTCTACGCTAAGAATAATAGCTAAAGGATAATCTCCTCGAGATTTACCGCCTATAGGAGGCCCTAATAACTAATACTAAACTAATAGTAGGGCCTTCCTTGCTACCTATTTAGAAGAAGGATACTAAGCTTAAGGACTATACCGTATTTAATAGCTCTAGCCGCAAGCAGTATAATAATTATATACGTAATTATAAATTGAACTAGCGGAATATACTAAGGGCCCTACTAGATAACTACTTATTAGTCGTCTACGCTATATAGTATATTAATAGCGACCTAAAGCGTACCTAGGATAACTATTTTAATTCCCTTTACGACTAGACCGCTATTTAATAGCAGGACTATAAGACTATTATACTAAATACCCTTAGCAACCCTATATTGCGATAGCAATATATATAGGACTAATACCTACGTACTAAACAAAAGGCCGACTAATCCTTACGATCCTTCGAGGCCTATTTAAAGACCCTCGAAGACGATTTGCCGGCTAAGACTAATTAAGGTAGCATTTACTACCCGACTCTATATATGTCCTCCTCCTTGCGCTCCTATCCGCGGCTTAGTAGAGTTATACGCCGCTTACTTTATAAGCGGTCTATACCTATCTACAAAATAGCCTTAGTAACTAATACCTATCTATAATAGCATATATAGACTATTTTATCTAATTACTTAATACTATTATAATACTATTAGGAAAGCGGAAGTCGAAGAAACGCGTATAGAAGGTCGTCTATAAATCTACGGCTATAAACCTTACGAAAGATACCCGAGTAGCTGCTTAGATAGTAGCTATTTGCGAGTTTAAACATATATACTACTACCTAGTTAACCTACGACGATAGTATAACGAATACTACTATAACGATATCTATTACCGATTATATCGACGATATAATAGTAATACGAGCCGTACCGACCGTAAATCGTCGTATTCTTACCTCTCCGAAGCCTAATCTATCGCCCTTATCGAATACTATAGATCTCGAGAATTAATAGACTTGTTACTACTAACGTTACTTGTTCGCGCTACGGCCGAGTTAATATTAAAGCGGTCACTTCTAGAAGGTAAAATACTAGTACTATTAAGTAGTAAGTAGCATAAGAGGTAGATAAAGAAGTATAATAATAATATTAAAGAGATTAAAAGGAAACCTATCGAGTTAGTAAGGAAGGAAGTATACGACCCTTAGTTTATCGGCTCGTAGTTTAATAAGCTATGCGAGTTAATATAGGTCTATAAGATTAGTCTCGAGAACTACTAGAATATAGATAAGACGGGTTTCTAGATTAGTATTAGAGGTACCGAATAGGTAGTTATAATAGATCTAAAGAGGCGGTTATAGGCGGCAACTAATACTAATAGGAAGTATATAACCTTAGTAGAAGCCGTAAATGCATACGGAGCCTTTATTAAGCTAATGCTACTAGTATAAGGCAAGGTCCTTCTTAAATACTAGTTTAACTAGTTACTAGTATACTATCTTATTAGTATAATAGATAGTAGCTATTTAAACGACGAGTTTGCCTTCTACTAGATTAAGCACTTCGAGAGGTTAATAAGGCCTGCTAATAAAGGCCTGTTCCGGCTTCTAATAATAGACAACTTTAGAAGCTACGAGTTCTTTAAGTTTATTAACTTCGCTCGGAAATACCGTATTCTAATCTTTACCCTTCTACTATATACCTTATACTTCTTATAGCTATTAGATATAGTCTTATTCTAGTGCTTGTAGGATGAGCAACACGTGCTTGTATGATACGAGCACGTGCTATATGACTCGGTGCCACGCGACAAAAGCCATGTGCCGGCTGCGATTGGCTGGCTTTGCTGTGTAGAAGTACAGTACTCGAGTGGCATTTCGCTGGCCAGGGGGCAGGAGGAATGGGACGTTCGGCTCGCAATGCATGCGAGACATAGCAGTATTGACCAGCAGTATGTTCCCTGGTAACACTGGTCCTGGAGTTCTTGGGAAGGCATTCAAGTAGAGCGGCGTGAGCATACTGTTCTGCAGCGCGTGCAGCTTTCATCATCTCTTCTTTCGCGCGTGCGTGCGTACCCCATGATCACACACGCGGTGCATCGGACGCGGGCAGAAGCAAGATGCGATATTATTGCGAAGACCTGGTCCTGGCAATGGGCGAACGGGACTGTGCTTCAATGGTGGGATTGGCAGGCCGAGGAACAGTAGTACCTGTCCTGTCCACGCAAAGGCGTGCCAAGGAGCAATTCTGGGTGCGCGGAGGGTCTCGAAGTGTCAAGCGGTGTGGTGCACTGGTCCCGTAAGATTACGATATGATGATGGCGAGAAACGAGGAGGCCCTCATATCACCGTCCGCGCGCACCGAGCGAGCGCAACGAGTGGCCGTGGCCGTGGCGGTGCGAGCTGGCCTAAGTTACTGCGGGCGTCTGGACTCTGGAGCAGCACGTCATCATCTCTTCGTCCGCATCGCACCCGACATGCCATGCCATGCCATGCCATGCCATGCCATGCGCATATGTGGTGGTGGCAGAGGACAAGCTGCGGTGGCCTTAGTCAGGCAGGCACCCGGAGGATTCGCTTGTTCCGACTCCGTCCTCCTTCGGCTCCCGGAAAGTGTAGAACTACGAACTACAGCGTCTGAACGCATCGCAGTGAAAGCGACTAGGCCCGGACCGCTGAATAACAAGTGGCTATTCGCTGTAATCCTTACTTTTCAAGGATGTGGGGCATACTAACTTTCACTCCGATGTGGTCAGACGCTGTACAGCCTCTTGTCGCATCGGAGTGAAAGCACTAAATTCCCCAATAATCCTGGATTTCATGGTTCGCAACGAATTAGAAATCTCAATTGTACGGGCCGTAGGTATCCACATTCACTCCGATGCGAGAAGACGCTGCAGTCCAATAATGCAGCGATGCGCGCTGCACGACTGGGAGTGCGCGGCGGAGCAGCGTTGGTGCCAAAGTCTAAAATAAGTGCGTGAGATTGCTCAGGTGCGTGCAGAGTCAGTAGTCAGAGTGTGCGAGGAAAACGCGGCATGCGTGATGCGTGTCGCAGCGCCCGTCCAGTGGTCTGCGACTTCGCAAGCGGCGTTGGTCTTGGGTCGCCGGGCCAGGCCAGCAGGCCAGGCCAGGCCATGCCAGGGACACCTCTGCCAACGACCGCGACTGCTCGACGAGGAGCTTGCTGGGACTGACTGCTACGGGGGCTGCGACTGGGACGGGGAGAGTGCACAGCCTGTGATTGATGAGGGATCGCTCGTTGTGATGATGACGATGACGCATTCGCATTAGGCCTGCATACCATATCGCACTGCACCGCACCGCACACCGCACACCGCAGCATTGCATGTCCACTGATGACGACCAGATGCACTCCCATCTCCCAGGCGCCACTGCAGCGAAAACAGCGGAACGTTGGCGACCACCACCGCCGGCCTGCCCACCTGAGGCCTGCATCCCCTACCTGTCCCTACTAGCTGCCGCCAGTCCAATCACCTCACCGCGCATCCCGTTCCTTTGGCATCCTGGAAAGAACGTGAAGTCTGCCTGATTTGGGACTGACTCTGGAGTGCATCTGGCCGCCCCGCCCGCGACCAACACAGCGCTCAGAGGCACCATGAACCCGCCGCCCTCGGCATTCAACACTGACATTCCGCCCGCTGCGCCCGCCCCCCAAAGCGCCATGCAGCAACAGCAGCCTCCGCCGCAGATCTTCGGCGCCCAATACGGCGCATCGCCAGATCTGCCCAACATGCCGCAGAATGGCGCCCATTGGTTCCACTCCGAGCTTGACTACGGCTTCGACGACCAAGACGGCGATGGTGACAACGCCGAGAACGACCAAGATGGCGGCGACAACAGAGACCCTAAGCGACGGAGGATCGCACGAGCGTGTGATATGTGCCGCAAAAAAAAGATCAAGTGCGATGGGAAGACGCCCAAGTGCAGCCATTGTGAGAACTACAAGACAGAATGCATATTTACGCACGTGGAGAAGAAGCGAGCGCCGCCCAAAGGTGCAAAATACATCGAGGGTCTGGAGAATAGATTAGGCCGCATGGAGAACTTGTTGCGCTTGTCGGGCCTGCTAGCAGAAGACGATGGCGGCCGAACAGACTTGGGCACTCTAGAGAAGCGCCTTGCCGAACGGCAGAACAAGAGCACAGCTGACAGCCCTGTGTCGCAACACTCGTCGAACAGACGGGGCAGTAAAGATGGCAGCACGCCTGCCAATCCGGAAGGACAAGAGCAGAAGGACAGTGGCCCCAATTCAGCGCACGGCCAAACATCCCCACCTGAGCCCGTCAAGAATCCTCCTGATGTGTTCAGACGCGATGCGAAAGAAGTCGATGCGCTTGCCGACCAGATGTGCAGTCTGATTACTAACCAATGTGGAGAGACACGATACATTGGCTCCTCGTCGGGCTTCAGCATATTCAGTCCCAAAGGTATTCAATGGGTCAACGAAAAGACTGGAGATACCAGCTTCCAGCAAATGATCGCTTCGGCCACGTCAGAGGACAAGCACGGTTGGGACCACTGGAAGCCGGAAGTCTTCAACGACCTATTTCAGCGAAGAATATTCAAACCCTTGCCCGGTCGCCAAGAATGCTATGCCTTGCTCAAGGACTATTTCGAGAACTTCAACATCATGTTTCCACTCTTTCACGAGCCTACGTTCATGCATCTCGTCGACAAACACTACTCCCTCGAGCCGTACGATAGCTCTGGATGGTGGGCCAGCTTGAACGTTGCCCTTGCCATCGCCCACCGACTGAGGGTCATGAGCAATGTGGTTTCACATGAAGAGGACGATGTCGCGTGGGCGTATCTTAAGAACGCCATGGCCGTCATGTCAGAGTTGACGATGCGCAACACTGACCTGTTGTCTGTGCAGGCATTGATTGGAATGGCGCTTTTCCTGCAAGGCACGCCGAACCCGCAACCAAGCTTTTTCCTTGTGGCTGCAGCAATAAGGCTTGCTCACTCCATCGGCCTGCACAAGCGCGGTTCGGGATTTAACCTCAACGAAGTCGAGAATGAACAGCGCAAACGAGTGTTCTGGATTGCCTACCTCCTCGACAAGGACATCTGCTTAAGATCTGGCAGGCCGCCAGCGCAGGACGACGATGACATGAATGTAGATCTGCCGTCGGAAGACCCTCCTGACAACGTTGGCAATGTACCGCTCTCCCAGGAGAGGCATGGAAAGAAGACGATGAATCTCTTCAGACTGATGTGTCAATTCGCACAAATACAGTCAAGAGTATACAAGCAACTATATTCGGTCAAGGCCAGCCGTCAGAGCGACGGCGAACTGCTGAATACCATTGGTGAGCTCGATGAGGCACTTGAGGAATGGAAAGACAGCATACCTCTCGACTTCCGGCCGGAGCACGAAATCAGAGCTGCCCATACGCCTCTGATCTTACATGTTGTGGTCCTGCACTTCGCATACTACAACTGCCTGACGACAATTCACCGGATGAGCGTTCATCACGGCTATTGGACAAGTCGACTCAGCGATTATGCGGTCCAAGGTCTAAACGCGAGACCTCTGAATCCACGCGTGTTCATGAGTGCTGCCTTGTGCGTCAATGCAGCAAGAACAAGTATAGGTCTGATTCGATATATTCCTCAAGGCGATTACGCCTGCGTTTGGTGAGCTTTCCACCCGGACATCGCTCGAAACAAGCTCGGCTAACTTCTTATCAGGTTGATTCTGTACTACCCAGTATCATCACTGGTAACACTATTTGCGAATATCCTTCAAAACCCGCAAGATGCACGCGCAAGATCTGACTTGAAGCTGATGAGCAGCGTCGTGTCCTTCTTGACGATGCTCGAACGGGATGTAGCAGAGGCTAATGGCAACGTGCGGCGCATGCTGTCAGTCTGTGCTGAATTTGAGCGAATCGCTCGCGTGGCGCTCGACAAAGTGGAACGTGAAATGCGAGGTCGTGGCAAGCGGAAGCAAGCAGAGCGAGAACGTGAGAAGGCGCTCAAAGATCAAGTGACTGGTCAAGTGGCCCAAGGGTTGGAAGAGGGAAAGAGCTTGGAGCAGATGCAAGTCGAAACTCAAGCTTCGTATCGACGGCCGATCCAGACACCATCACTGCGAGCATCTGTGGCAGGTAGTCAAGGTGGAAGTCAGCACGGCAACAGCCCTGCAAACAGCTGGGGAGGTAGCCCGCCTGGAGGCAATGGATCACCATACCAACGCTCTGCGAGCAATTCCCGACCGCCACAAGTGCCAGCATCAAATGGACAACAGCAACCGTCGCCATACATGCCCTCGCAAGGGTCGACAAATGCTAACGCCCCCTTCAACCCGATGCAATTTCAGCCTCCATTGCCCAATGGCATGGACTTCACGACTCACTCACCAACGCAACAGCACCATTCAAATCTTCCTTCGGCTTTCAACCAAGTTGATGTCTTCCCGGGGCCTAATTTCCCCACAACAACAGGTGCTTCTGGGCATCCCGACTTCTCAGGAATGCCAGCTTTTGATCCTTCGACTTCGGGGGTCGTCAATAGTGCAGCGGGCGCCTTTCAACAACCATTTGTACCTCAAGATTTGTGGCAGATGCCAATGACTCTGGAGTGGGATTGGGCGGAAGGGTTAGGTTTGGGCAGCTTTACTCCTGGAACCATGATGGAAGCACCAGGAGGACCGCCTGGATTTGATATGGGTCACGAACCTGGAGGACATAACATGGGACCGCCGCAGTAAGAGAAGATTTGGACTTGGTCCCGTTGAAGGATGTATCATATTGCACTGATTTCTCATTTGCTGCCTTAGAGCCCGCACAATTCGTTCTTTGAGCATCGGTCTCTGGTGTTCTATTTGGCAGAGACAAGAGGGATCAATGAGTACTTACGACGATAGAGATGGGGACTTAGAAGGAAAAGAGCGTGGGCAACCATTTTCGCTTTGATCAAACTCGACTCATTTATGACAAGCCACCACATCTTACAGTCTCAAATCCGATCTGTTGACGCATGGAGTTGAGCTGGTCTGGACGCGGAGAAGTTGGTGACAGCAACTCGGCGTGAAGCTGTGGAGCCGCTCAATCTTTCTTATCTTTATCGAAGCATCGGAAAGTGACACCCCAGGAGTCGTCTATGTAAGCATTAGCACGGGTGCCATGATGACTGGAGGAAAAGACGCACTGTGCCGTGTTTCCCACTCTGGCGCCTCTCTCAAATTGATACACTTTTGCTTTCCGTAGCATTTGTCGTACTGATCTATCTGTCAGCAGAAAGATGACATGATTAGTGCTGGTAGAGACTTACGGTGCAATCATTCCAGTAGCCAATGCAACAAGCTGTGCCATCAGGGATGTAGGCAGACTGAGGCTTTGGATTCATGACTGCGGTGCAGTTCCCCTTGTGCTGGGCATTGTTCGTATACTGCAAAGGCCATTAGAAGAAATTGCGTGAGGCACGAGGGGTATGGGAGATGCGGACCTAATCGCATTGCAAGTCGCTGTGAGGGAGACCGACGAGATGACAGTCTCCGTACCCTTTGCCGCCGTAGTTTATGTTGTTGAAGTGCGTGTCGTTATTGCATGCGAGACCGGTGTAGAAGGAGACGGCCCAGGAGTGGACGGGTGGAGTTAGAGATGCGAGAATCAGGAGGAGTTCAGGTGTTAGGATCGTCTGCTTCATGGCAAATGTTGATGGATGTATGTGCACGGGAGCAGATGTTGAAGACAAACGAGACGTCGGATCGTTTGAAAATGTACATGGCTCCGGCAATGGACAGGTAGTGGCATTGGAGCTGTAGGAAGTCGTTGCCACGAAGGTGCTCAGTGGCTCTGCTACTGCAGTGCTGAGTGTGCTGAAGTGCAGTCGCGGTAGGGAGGCCCATATATACCAGATTGTCAATGGAGGTTCTCACCGCCTCTACTAACCCACCTCTACGACTAACTTTCTATATTTGCCTTCGCACTATACTCGCTATTGACTCGCAAAATGCCTCTATATATCGATCTCTCGCTATAGAGGGCTTAGATAACCTTATAGGTTAATAGCGGCACTATATAAGGCGAAATCCTATAGCACCTTATATAAGAGATTAGTTACTAGATAGCTCTTTCTACGCTTTATCGGAGGCTTAAGGAATAGGGGGTTAATTATAGCTATTACGCTTACTATAACCGAGTTAATAATATCGAGGTACTAAAGATCCGAGTCGTATATACCTTCTCCGCTTTATACTTAACTAATAAAGAAGCGGTTAAAGTACTAAAGATAGATAGATTTAATATTAGCTAGCGGAGATATTAACGGATACGTTAAGAGCTTAGATTAAAGAAGGTATTATCGCGAAATAGATAGATAGAAGCGGAAGAGGAGATAGTAGAGGTCTTATAAGAAGAGCTCGAGAAGTCTATAGTAGAGTCCTTCGGCCGACGGTACCTATATACCTATATTAGGTCTAAATACAATATCATTAGTAGAGATCGGCTATATCGTATAGCTTACTTACTAAATCCTAAAGGGTTGCGAGTCCGCTACGAGCGGGCGCGAGAGTACTATAGAGCGATTATTATACTAGGCCCTAGCTACGTAATATTAATGGATACTTGCTATAAATTCGAGCATTAGGGGATATAGATCTACGTAGCTATTAATGTCTACTCGCGTTACATTATCTAGGTCTACGTAGGGATTACTAGCCGCATAGCTATATCCGTACTCGCTTAATATATTACAACGATTAAGAATAGTAGTATAATGCTACAGATTATCCGATTAGACCGTAGGGCGGAAACGATTCTAGCCGCGGACGCTTACTATACGACTCGCCTTACGACTCGTAGTAACCTAGAACCGGAACTAGAACTAGAACTACTAGCTTTCGAAGACTGCTTTAAATACGGTACGAGCAAGATAAACTAGCGGATCGAGGCATAGTAGCGCTAGTAAGCACCTATATTAAATAGCTAGAGGGGCTATTTTTACGAGTTGCTACGCGAGTTACTATACGATACTAAATTGCTAGCCGATCGGATTGCCTTCCTTATAGTCTATATACTAATTATACGCTATAAAGTCCTCGAATTTGTTTACCTCTAGAATAGCTATCGGATTAGGAAGTAGGCTAATCGACTATACGTCGTACTAGGTATTCCGTATATTCTACACTATTATCTAGAGCTAAGCGGGCATTCTTATTAAGGTATTCCTATACCTAATAGCGTACTTAATAATATAGAGCAAGACCTTTAAGGATTCGGTATATATTAGATTCTATAGTACTCGCTATAGACTCGCTATAGACTCGCTAATAGACTCGCTAATTCCTAGATCTTAAAGCCTACCTACCCGAGGCTACGCTTACTTAGTGTTAGATAGTATTGTAGACTCGCGGCTTCTCGTATCTAGTTAGTAGTAGCGAGAATAATAGCGATAGAGAGCGAGTTTACCGCTAGGTATACTTACTTCTTCGATAGCTAATTGCCGAGTATATAGCTATAGGGTTAGGGCCTAAACTAATAGAGTTAGACAAGCTATTAGCAGCTCGTAATTAGACGTTAGGTAGGGCGAATACCGGGGCTAGATTAATTAAGTTTGTAAATAATATATACTAATCTAAAATAAGGGATTTGCGAGCCGGCCGCGAGCCGGCCGCGAGTCGCTTATTTTAGTTCTATTTCCTTCTTAATCTTTCAATTCCTATCTTGTTCTACCTCTATACTACTGCTATAGTTCTACCTTAGTTCTACTACTAATAATGCCTGTCTAGGGTACCTTTTATACTGTTACCGGCGCTAACTATATAATACTATTAAAAGCATACGCATTCTGTAACTAATATAGTCTTAAGAACCCTAATCTACTAACTAAGCGATTTGTACGCGAGCCGTTAGTAGCAGCCGTAGCTACTGCCGCTACTACTACGAGTTTAACTGCGAGTATAGTACGAGGCTTTAATACGTTCCCTTCTCTACCTAAGGCGGCGAATACTATACGCAATACTACTATTTAGTAGTATAAGCCAACTTCTCGACTAAATACTAGATCTCGGAGCCTCTCGCAACGTCTACTAATACCTATACAACTCTTAAAGGAGCTAACAAAGGTATTATTTACCTGCCGCTATTTAGTTTTTAGCTAGCGAGTAGAGGTTTCTCGTAGAGGTAGAGTTGACCTATAGGAATATAATTAGCTAGTCCTATAGACTTCTATTACTAATATCTAGTCTAATAAAGACTTCGAAGAAGCTAATATATTACTTATAGACTAGGTTCTTAGTCGGATTAACGCTAAGAACCTACCGCAAGGTAGCGTCTATTAGGTCGACGACTATACGGACTACTTCTTCTATACTAATTTCGATAATAAGCGCTTATTACTAGATAAAGTCGCTTCTAAAGTACTCGGCCTAGGACTAGTTAAAGAGGCTCTTATACTCTTTAAACCGTAAATAGGAGGGAAAGCAATAAAGCAGCTACTAATCTATTACCTTAAAATCTATATCTAATAATAGCGGAAGCTATAGTAATAAAGGCAACTAAAGCGGAAGCACCGGCTAAGTACTCCTACTACGAGTAGTAGCGCGAGTGCTATAGCGAGTTAGGACGGGGTTGTTCTATCTATAGAGATTAAGTAAGAGAAGCTATAGAAGGAGAAGATAATCGATATAAAAAAGCCGCCTAAGTTTATTAACCTAAGCGGCGAGGATACCGCGAGGCTACCGCGAGTTACGCCTATTCTAAAAGAGTCGAGCGAAGCTAAGGACTAGCAAGATAGTTAGCAAGATAGTTAGCAAGATAGCTAGTAAGAAGGCTAGTAAGGCTAGTAAGGCTAGTAAGGTTAGTAAGGTTAGTAAGGTTAGCAAGGTTAGCAAGATAGCTAGCAAGATAGCTAGTAAGATAGCTAGTAAGATAGTTAGAGCGGATAGAAGAGTTAGAAGCTAAAGCGTACTTAGAAGCTAGTTAATCTATTATCTATAGAGATACGATCGAAGAAGAAAGGAAATTGAAATATAGACTCGCTATAGACTCGCTATAGACTCGCTATAGACTCGCTCCTTAAATATTATCTACTAGTAGCTCGCGATCGCTATTTAGATATAGCTCCTTCTATATCGTATATATATCCTTAGACTTAATAATAGCCTTATTCTTAAGCTATTTAAACTACGAGAGGCAATATCCTTCTAACTTATCGAACCTAGCTTCTAATACCTTAATCTTTGCCTCTAGTTTAGTATTCTTTGCCTCTACGGCCTCGACTCGCGCCTATATCGCGGCTAGCTCGCTGTTTCTATCGTCTTCTTTAACCTCTTCTATACTAGCCGTATAGCTAGACTTGCCCTTATACTTATAATAAGCGTAGATACGCTCGCCTTTAGTATTAAGTATACGACACTTAAAGTTATTAGAGCGTATACAGTAGTAGTATAGCGCTAGTATAAGCTTGCTAGAGTCCGTTTCTATAATAATTCTAGTAGCCTTATATTTCCGTAGTCTGTTTAATACTACCTTCTTTTTATCCGGTATCGCTATCTAATCGAGTAGCTCTTACTATATCTACGCGCTATAGTACTAGAAATCGTAGGTATTTATAGTCGTAGGGCGTCGAAGTCTAGAGCGAGTTAGTAGCGAGTCTATAGCGATACGCCTCGCGACTTACGATAAATATTCTCCTCCTTCTACTAGTAAGTACGCTACTAGTAAGTATGCTACTAGTAAGTACGCTACTAAAGTTAAAGCTAAAGCTGCTAAAGCTACGCTAAGAATAAGGTCTCGCGGAATACTAGTTATAGCGGCTGCTACTATCGGTATCGGTATCGCTATCGCTATTAGTATTATCGATAGAAGAAGAATATTACAAGGTAAGGCGCGAAAGTGTAGCGAGTCTAAGTAAGGTTTGTCGCGACAATAGGCATAGTAAGGTTAGTAAGGAAGGCGTAATAGGACAATGGACTAAAGTGAAGCCAACCCTCCATTAACAATCTAGTATATATGGAGCTCCGTCTCGCGGCAGTGCAGGGTGGCGGGCTTGGCCTTGGCATCGGCGAGACCCTCGGACGTGGATATGACCTGGCTTGGATGCATCATGCATCGCACGCTCGGCTACCATCCGCCATCGACCCCCAGCGCTTCTCTCCAGCGCACGACAATTTTCATAGACTGCGGAAGCTCCGTACAATACGGAGTCGCGCCTGCGCCTGCGCCTGCGCCTGCGCCTGGGACTGGCATTGCCATCGGCATCGGCATTCACTGAGAGACGCACTTTCACGATGGCGACGCTCTTGCGTAGGCCGCAGAATCTGGCGCGCTCATCACGACAGCTGCTTGAAGCTGCCTCGCTGTCCAGAGCACTCGCCTCCCGCCCTGCCTGTCTTCCGCGACCGTCGTACGCATACACACACGTTCGAAGTCGGCAGTACTCAACCGATCCCAAGCAGAATGACGAGACGCCAGGTGAGCCGCCCAAGGCCAAGGGCATGGAGCAACTCTACTCCAAAGAATCGCCCATGTCGTCTGGACCACAGCCTCCAAACCAGAAACCTGACGGGAAGAATGATGCGCCACTTCCCGGACGAGTCAAGCTAAATGCCCAGGAGATCAAGATGATGGAGGATAGCTTCGCACTTGTCAAGAAGGGCATGCCTGCGTTCATGACCAAGGACATCGATTCCGCGTTGGAGCGTATGAAGCGCGAAGGCATTCCTTCAGAGCTAAAGGAGACGATCGAAGAGGTGCAAAAAGAAGGCATGTCGCCCGCAAGAGCAGCGAAGCTGTGGCGCATGGTGGCTCAGATGGCAAGGCAGACCGCTGAGGCCGAGTTCAATGAGAAATTCGGTGAGGCGAAGCAGAAGACTGGCGACGACCCTGGGCCGGCGGGTGCGAGTGCGGGTGGGGGTGGAAAAAAAGAGGACGGAAAGAAGAAGGGCAAGCAGGGCGACGACATGTTCAAAAACGTCACCGAGATCAAGTTCGACCTCTCAAATTTCCTGGTGTCAAGTTTCGTTGCATATCTGCTATACCGACTGGTGGTGCCAAGCGAGAACAGTAGAGAAATCACATGGCAGGAGTTCCGGAATACTTTCTTCGACAAGGGCCTTGTAGAGAAGCTGGTGGTAGTCAACGGGAACAGGGTTCGGGTATACTTGCACCGCGAGAGCGTCGCATCAATGTACCCCGAGTCGCCTGCAGCACAGCAAGGATTCTTCTACTATTTCAGCATTGGCTCGGTTGAAGCATTCGAACGGAGGGTGGACGAGGCACAGAATGAACTTGGAATTCCTGGATCGGAGAGAATACCTATCTCGTACCATGAAGAGGGTAGCTGGTTCAACACCGTTCTCGCCTTTGGTCCCACATTGCTTTTCATCGGCGCCATCTTCTACTTGTCGCGACGAGCAGCTTCTGGAGCTGGTGGTGGACAAGGTGGCATCTTTGGCATGGGTCGGAGCAGAGCCAAGAAGTTCAACCACGAGACCGACATCAAGGTCAAATTCTCTGACGTCGCCGGAATGGATGAAGCTAAAGTCGAGATTATGGAATTCGTCAGTTTCCTCAAAGAGCCTGGCGTTTACCAAAGGCTTGGTGCTAAAATACCACGCGGTGCTATCCTTTCTGGACCCCCTGGTACCGGTAAGACCCTCCTGGCCAAGGCTACTGCAGGAGAATCTGGAGTACCTTTCTTCTCCGTCTCTGGTTCCGAGTTCGTAGAGATGTTCGTGGGTGTTGGGCCTAGCCGTGTGAGAGATCTGTTCGCAAACGCCCGGAAGAACACACCTTGCATCATTTTCATCGACGAAATCGATGCCATCGGCAAAGCACGAGCAAAGCAGTCATTTGGAGGTGGCAATGATGAACGAGAAAGTACGCTTAACCAGATCCTTACTGAGATGGATGGTTTCAACACATCAGAGCAGGTGGTTGTACTTGCAGGTACGAACCGAGCCGATGTGTTGGACAAGGCGCTTATGCGACCTGGACGTTTCGATCGACAAATCGCAATCGACCGACCAACTATGGAGGGCAGGAAGCAGATTTTCGGTGTGCACTTAAGAAACATTGTCACAAACGAGGATCTGGAGCATCTCAAGGGTCGTTTAGCAGCTTTGACCCCTGGTTTTGCTGGTGCAGATATCGCCAATTGTGTCAACGAAGCTGCTCTTGTTGCAGCTCGATCCAAGGCGGACTCTGTCACCATGCAGCACTTCGAACAAGCTATTGAGCGTGTCATTGGTGGCCTCGAAAAGAAGAGCTTGGTGCTCACTCCAAAGGAGAAGAAGACCGTCGCATACCACGAAGCTGGCCACGCCATTTGTGGTTGGTATTTCCAATACGCAGACCCTCTCCTCAAGGTCAGCATCATTCCTCGTGGTCAAGGCGCACTTGGATATGCTCAATACCTGCCCGGAGGTGGTAATGATGCTGTTCTTATGAACGTGAAGCAGCTCATGGATCGCATGGCCATGACATTGGGTGGTCGTGTGAGTGAAGAGCTTCACTTCGACACTGTCACCAGTGGTGCAAGTGACGACTTCAACAAGGTCACTCGCATGGCAACTGCTATGGTGACTAAGTGGGGAATGTCAAATCTTGGATACATCTACTATCCAGACTCTTCCGAAAGCGCTGAAGCTCAGCTTCAAAAGCCATTCTCAGAGGACACTGCAAAGGCAATCGATGCTGAGGTCAAACGAATCGTTAATGAAGCATACAAGCAGTGTCGTCAACTCTTAGAAGAAAAGAAGCACGAGGTCGTCATTGTTGCGGAAGAATTGCTGTCCAAGGAGATGCTCAGCCGGGACGACATGGTTCGACTACTTGGCCCTAGGCCATGGGAGGATCCAGGCGAGTTCTCCAAGTACTTCGGTGGTGGTCCCATGGGCCCAGCGCCGGGAACACCTGGAGCTGAACCCGGTTCTATCGATCAGCCAGGAGGAGGCAACCTGCCTCCACCTTTACGCGGTCCTGGTGGTGAGGAACCAGCGCCTACGCTTTATCAGCAGTTCCAGAACAGACCGAGCCAAAGATAGGAGCCAATGTATTTGTAAAGCATATTCAGTTTGTACATAAAACAAAGCCCAGCAATTGGAAGACTGGGCTGGTGCGAAGAGGATCTCAAGCATGAAGCATGGCGAAGGCGCTCGGAGAACTAGAAAGGCAAGAGAAGAAAAGAGGTAAAGATAAGCTGTCAGGCATCATGATAGACAGCCAGTGCAATGTACACTCCACTACACACCCTCAAAATTCTATCCTGTCCCCAACATAAACATACTTCTGTCTCACTACTCGTACACTGGTAGAATTCCCACAGTTCCCTCCCCACCGGTGATCTACGGCGTCTTCGGCCGCGGTACCTCATTCTTAGAAATTATATACCAAGCGTGAATCACGCCAGGAATCCAGCCCAAAATCGACAGCAAGATGTTGATCAAAAAGTCCGCGCCGCATCCGACTTTTAAGAATACTGCGAGGGGTGGAAGGAAGAGTGCTGTTTTTTTTTAATAAAGTCAGTATGGAAGAAAAAGTTTGGGTAAGTTGGCTGGTTTGAAATGGGATGGGACTTGCCGAGGAAGTAGAGGAGGACGTTTCCTGTTGATGAGGGCATCTTCGAAGGTCTGGGCGATGATTATCGCGAAAAGTTTGGATGGGGTTGTTGCTTTGTTTTGCTTGGAGAGCTTCTGAGACTTTTGTGTTGTTTGATTGAGTGACTTTTGTTGCTGTCTCACGTTGATTTTGGAGGTTTTCTTATTTGACAGTGCATGTGTATATATATACGTGTGCAGTCCTGTTCGGCGTCCGGGTTCCTGTCAAGAAGGATGACGTTTTTTTGCTCGTTTGGCGTCGTCAGCCACATGCAGCTGCAGGGTTGACGAGCGCCAGTGCTGCCACCATGCTTGTCGTTGAAGCACCAATTAGAAGGAGAATCCATGCATGGTTCACTCGGCTCAGGGCTGTGCCTGAATATCTTGCTCGCTAGCCACATTTTAATGTTACAAAGATATTATACCTATCACACATCTCTTCCTCGCAAAGATCTGAGCCACAGCATGGCTGTACAATGAGATGTGTCCATCATGCGATATATGTGGTGGCAATTCAGCCTCACCGCTCTTCATCTGCACTAACATCTTCTTCATCCTCAGCTTCGTCGCCTTCTTGCGCTGCATCCTTGGCTTTCTCCCTAGCAGCTGCAGAACTTCCACCTTTCTTCGAACCATGGCGCTTGACGAGGTGTTCTATAGGACACCCCTCCTCCCAATTGGCGCTCGTGGTGCCGGTAATCGCTCTGCACCGAGGACACACTTTGCCGTGCTTGATGAGAAGTTGATGGAGCGGGTATTTGAACTCGTCAGGAATGCGAGCATCACAGTGAGAGTAAGTCGTGTTTCTGTCGACCTTGGGCTCGCCTTTCTTGACGGACTTTGGGACCCACCCAAGGTATTGGCACAGACGAAAGACGTGTGTGTCGACGGCAAAAGAGGGCCGCTGTAGGCAGAAGAGTGCCACACATGATGCTGTCTTTGGTCCAATGCCAGGAAACGACAACATCTTCTCAATAGCCTCGTTGGTGCTCAGAAGATGGAGGTGATCGAGAGAAATGACGTTTTGCTTCGCCTTTGCAATCTCTTCCTGTTTCTCACTTTCAGGCTCATGCTCAGCTCCGGCTGGATCGCCCGATGGACTGGTCAACGCACTCCTGCGCTCCTGGTTCTCTTCGTAAGCCATCTGCAGTATCTCTTGTATATCTTTTGACTTGATCTTAGCCAAACCACCGCGTTCGATAGCTTTAAAGACTTCGTGGTTGGGGGCGCGCCGAACAGCATCCCAGTCAACACTTCCTTTGCCAATGCCCTCCTTCAGTGTGCCGAATCGGGCAACTAGACCTTGAAATGCAGTGCTTGAGTTTTTATTCGTCGTGTTTGCACTAAGTCGGGTTCGAATCAAAGCATCGAGAACGGAAGGCACTTCTCCACAGCCAGCGACATCGAGAGAGGGCGGCGGAACGGCGTTCGGCACAATGACTTTTCCATGTTTCTTCTCAAGTATTCGTACAACTTCTTCGCATTCTTCTGGCGTGGGACGCAAAAAGTCCGGATATGGAGAAACACCAGGAGTCAAGCCGTAATTTGCCTTCTTGGGCGTCCTCTTGGAAGGGGTGGCTTTAACATCTTCTTCTTCTTCTTCTTCTTCTTCAACCTTCACTTCTGGATCGAGCTTCTCAAAGGGATCTGAGCGCTTTGATCGTTTCTGAGGCCGAGTACTTGCAAGGTCTTCTGTCTCCTCAAGGCCAGGTGTAGGTAAAGCTGTGCCAAGGTTATGTGGCAAATCATTGACGTCTCCCTCTTCCTGCTTGCTGGGCTTCCGTGAACGCTTTCGGCTCGAGTTCGCGGGAGTACTGGGAACTTCCTCTTTCACATTGCCACTTTTACCTGTATTCGATCTAGCTCTTCTGGATCCCTTCTTGGAGACGTCCGGAGTAGCAGGCGGGCTTGATAATTGTTGTGGTTCCTGAGTCACAGCATCGTTATAAGCTCTGGCAGTCGATGACCGAGTGGCCCTCGGCATGTTGCTGGTATTCCTGAGTCGGTGCGTTGTCTGGCAGTTGTTCTCAATTCGGTGCTTCACGTCTGATGTGGAAGTGCTTTCAGATGGTCGTGTGTCTCCAAAAGCAGAAGTCATGACGCCGTACCCCTGTCGAGATCGCCAAGGCCGGGTCTGTGCTCAGATCCTTCCAGAGCCCATCATCGCGGCTTCCCATTACTCTTCATCGCATAGAACCGCGATCGATGTGCGTCTTTCATACACGAGGAAATCACCGACGAGCCGTCGCACAGACTACAATACCAGAGCACTTCAAAAGCTTGACGTCGTCTGCAGACACCAAGGCGTTCCCGATCTGAACCTGGAGTCTGGACCACGCCACGGGCTTCGCGCCGGGAGCATCGTGGTGGCTTCGTTCAGGAAACTTTAAAGCAACATTGTACGCGCAGCAAGCACCGACAAAGCTAGTACCAGCTAGTTCTGGGGGGGGGTAGGTGATTATCATGGTAGTCTGGATGCTACACGCTATTGATGTTGTGGCCTTTCAACATACTATGCTGCGCCAAGTCTCTGCAGTCGAGGTCAACGACTTCAAATTGGTTGGACTCTTCGAGACTGCTCTTCGGCCCGCCTATGACAGAGAGACTGCATCTTTGGAGGTCGAGTGTCATTGAGTCGGCGAGGCTGGAATTTCCTCTGCGGCATGGCCTGCAGACATCCAGCTACGTGCGGGCGACATAACTCTAAGTGCCTTTATACCCTCAGTAGTCTCTATGTTCGCACGAGCAGCGGTGAAGCTATATAGACTTCGCCTAGGACTCTACCAACCTAGCCATGCTTATAATTATAAGCAGTTATTAGAAGATTTTAGTGCCTAGCCGATTAGCCCTATATATAATTTCCGAGGCATTCCTTCGTAGATAACCAGATCTAAGAAGTGTTAATATTGCTAGCTAAAACAGGCATTCCGCGGATACTAGGGTCTCTAACCTTATATCGTCGAAACCTAATAGTATAGGGCCTATTTTCTATATAGGAGGTATTGCTAAAGTCGCTATAGCTATCTATTATTACTATAATACTTATTAACTTATTTAATCTAGCTCTTTAATCTAGCTCTTTAATCTAGCTTTTTAATCTAGCTCTTTAATATAGCTTATCTTATCCCTATTTCTATAACCTATTAACTACGCTATTCGCTATTTAGTCCGTTAACCTAAGGCTCCTTTATACCGAAAAAACAGTTTAAACAGATATAGCCCTTTGTAACTAACTTCTAGGAGAAATATAAGGGCGCTCGTTATAAGGATAGGTTGTCGTAGCGGACGATATACTACTATCGTTATCGGCGTAACTTTAATCGCAATCGAGAGCTAGGTATTAGTATCTATAAGGTAGAGTTTTATAAGAACCTATACGACGCGTCGATAGCTATAATCGCGGTATTCGATCGGAAGGCGGATAAGGAGCCTCGTAGCTATAAGATCGCTCGAGGAGGCCGCGATTCGGCGTATAGTAATAATAATATCTATAGTTATACGATAGACTATATAGTAAGGTTATTAGGAAGAGGATAGTAGCGAACAATTAGAGACGAAGGGAAGACAGTTAAGAAGGAAGAGAGGACGAATAGAAAGCACTATATATAAGGGCAGAGGAGGTACTAAAGGCAGAAGATAGAAGAACCCCTAAGAGGGTATATAGGATAATAATTTTAGAACTCCTTAGAGGACTAAAAGCAATCTACAACTAGGCAAGCTACGTAATTATAAAGGTAGCTAATATAGTCGTAGCAAAGATTACGAAGAAACAATAGGAGACAAGCCTAAACTACCGTACCTAGGTAGCAGTAGCTAGTTAGGAGGCGCTAAAACCCCTAAGGACAGTAGTTCGAGTCTATATTACGGACCTATAAGAGCAAAAGGAAATCTAAGGACTTATAGGGAAAGAGATTGTAGAAAGAATTATAGTTAAAGAGGTAATTAGGGCTAGGAACGAAGGTAAAGGGGTAATTAAGCTATTTATAGCATAAGAGCAAGACAAAAAGAAGCTAGAAACACAAAAAGAATAGATAACTAAGATAGGGAAAACAGCAAAGGTCTCCTAACAGCAATTCATAATTATAGCCTATAGTATAATAAGAAGCTTTAAGGAAGAATAGGATATTAAGAGCCTATAGAGACAAAACTAAGCTATATACCTAGGCCTAAAGATTACAAAAGTGGTATAGATTAAAAGGAAAATCGAAGAGACTAAGAAGCAGTCTTCCCTAATTATCTAGGTAGGGAGTGCAGAGCAGGCTAATATAGTGCTAGACTAAGGGTTGTTCTAGGACTTTAAAAGATTAGAAATAGAGATATATAGAAGCAACTATAGGATAATACAGTGCTTTAAATGTTAACACTATAGACACTTAGTAGCTAAATACATAAAGACAACTAACACCTGCTCCTATTATATAGAGGAGCACTAGATCAAAGAATACAAAGCATATAAGGGAGAAGCAAGGTATATATACTACACTAAAAGACACCCCTCTTAGGCGAAGGAATGCCTAGTAAGAATATAGGCAGCTAGGAAAGCGAAGGAAGCTAGAATTAATATACTAAAAAGATATATAATAAGCTAGGGCAGCTAGGTATAGAAGCAACCTAGCTAAGTACTACAAAAGAGGTCTAGGCAAGATAATAGGTTCACATTTAGGGCCTTACTAGTACAAGAGAGCTACTAGTAACTAGGGAGACTAAGATACCTTAACATTGCAGGAAAGGAAGTAGGGCAGACAAAGCTTAGTCAAATATTGGTCTAAAGTAAGGGGAGACTAAAGGAAAACTTATAGGGAAATAATATAGATAAAACCTAATAAACATTACAACATTACTAAACATTATATAGTACAATATTAATAAGAGCAAAGACAAGGTACAGAGGAGCTTCCTTTAAGTACTAAACCCAAAAGAATATTATATTATTACAATCTAAGAGCCCTAGCTTAACCTATATACAAAGAGACTAGTAATAGTTAAAGACCTAAGATACTACCTAATTATCTACAACTAGGGAGCCCTAAGGATATGCATCTATATTAGTAAGGAGATAGATATAGAAACCTAGTAGGCTATACTATAGGAGGATAGGGACCTAACATTAGTTTAAGTAGAGACATCCTAAGGTATACTCTAAGTCTACTATATATACAACCTACTACTAGACTCAAGAAGCAGTACCTAACTAAAAACCCTAGAAAGACTACCTAGAGTTATCTAGGGGAACACCTACTAAATCCTACTTAGGGATTTCAACCTCTACTATCCCCTCTAGGGCTTAGACTTTACCCTAGCTTACTACTTCCTAGTAGGAAGACTAATTGATATATTAGAGAGGGAAGGAATAGAAATTGTTACCCTAAAGGGACTAATTACTTAGGAGGCAAGAGGAAGCAGTAGTATACTAGACCTATACTTTGCATTATATTAGATTAGGAATAGGATTACAAGATACAGGGTCAACTAGGAACTAGAAGAATTATTAGACTACTTCCCGGTATAGATTAAGCTAAATGTCTAAGCTAATTAGGAAAGGGAACTAGAGGAGAAGCTCAACTAGAAAGGTACCTAATAGGGTAGGATTAGGGAGGAATTAGAAAGGGACCTAAAACTAGAGGAACTCTTAACAAAGCATCTACTAAGGCTAGAGGACATTAACAAGGCAGTAGAAGAACTAATAGGAATCCTAAAACAGGTAGCTAGAAAGCATACCCTAGCAAAGAAACATTCACTATACTAGCAACTATACTAGACTAGTAAGTATATAAGGAAGGTTAAAGTAGCAAGGAAGGCTAGGAGATAGTAGATATAAACCTATACCTAGGAAGCATAGGACAACTATAATAAAGCCTACTAGGAAAAGAAGATCTAGATTAAGAAAGATAAGATACAAGAATAGAGATCTATAATAGGAATGATTATAAAGAAACTAGAGGAGATATAGAGGATAGCTAAATAGGTAAGGAGACCTAAATAGGACAAGGATATACTACTACAATTCCCGGACATAATAGACTAATAAGGACAAATGCAGACTATAATAGAAGGGAAAGCAAGAGCCCTAGGCTACTACTTCTTCTATAGAGAAGTATAAGCAGACCTATTAGACATAAAGGAGAAAGAATAAGAGACTCTACTACTAGGTACACTAAGAGACACCTAGGTCAAACCCGAAACTATTAAAAGGATCCTAAAGAAAATTCTAGGCAATAAGGCACTAGGAGAAGACAAGATCTATAACAAACTCCTAAAAGCATATAGGAAGGGGCTAGCCCTAGCACTAGCTAATATCTTTTTATAAAGCCTAGCACTAGGACACTACCTAAGACTATTTAGGAAGTCCCTAACGGTAGTGCTAAGGAAGCCCTAAAAGGAAGACTATATATAGCTTAAGGCCTATAGACTAATAGCCCTACTTAACACAATAGGTAAGGTACTAGAAAAAATTGTCGCTAAAAGGCTAACAACCTTTGCCGAGGAAAGGAATATCCTTCCTAAAGGCTAGATAGGAGGAAGAAAGAAGAGGTCAATACTAATAGCTATAGAACTAATTATAGAACAGATTAAGCATATCTAGTACTATAGTCAAAACTAGATAGCAACCCTCCTCTCCCTTAATATCTTAGGAGCCTTTAACAATGTCTCCTATAAAAGGCTCCTATATATACTTAAATAGAAAGCTATACTAAACTAGATAGTCTAATTCATCTAGTCCTTCCTATAGAAAAGATTAATACAGCTTATTCTAGGCAAATTCAAATTAGACCTAATACTAACTAAAAAGGGAATCCCCTAAGGATTAATACTCTCCCTAATCCTCTTCCTTATCTTTATAGTAGACCTACTCCTACTCCTAGAATCAAACAATATATTAGTATTAGGGTTTGTAGATAACACAAACATCCTAGCCTAGTCTAAGACAATAGAAACCAACTGCAAGATCCTAGAAGAGAAGCACTAAGAGTATAAAAAATAGGT